GCATTAGTGCCAGAGCTGCCATATTGAATGCACCAGATCCTCCTGAATTCCCTGAATGACCAAGGGCGCCAGATCCCTCTGAATTCCCCGAACGGCCTGAGGTGCCAAATCCTCCCGAATTCCATGAATGGCAAGGGGTGCCAGATGTGTGACCTCCCAGAGCTGCCAAAGCCTCCTGACCCACAGGGGTGGAATGAACTGCCAGTGTCTCCTGAACCCAAGCCTCCTAACCCACTGGGGTTGAATGAAATGCCAGTGCCTCCTAAACCTACAGTAAGCTTCCTGATCCTCTGGGGTATAATGAACTGCCAATGCCCTCTAAACCAAAGCCTCCTGACCCACTGAGGTTGAATGAACTTTCAGTGCCTGCTGAACCTGAGCCCCCACATCTACTGCAGCTCCACGCTCCAAGCCCACGGCATCTTCACGCTCGAGGCCCTCTGCAGCTCCATGCTTCAGACCCTCCGCAGCTCTAGGCTCCAGGCCCTCTGCAGCTCCATGCTATTGGCCCTTCACAGCTCCATGCTCCAGGCCCTCCGCAGCTCAGTGCTCCAGGTACACCTCCCCTGCATGGTCCTGGCCCTCTGTCCCTCCCATTGTTTTGCTTCTGCTCTACCTCCCTCCTGGTCTGTATTTAGAGCGTATGGAAGCCACTCCTAGAGGGGGACTCTGCTATGAGAATCAGTGATCTAGCTGCTGCAAATCGCTAACTGACTACAAATCCACCAATTATGGACTACAGGATCCAGTCATGCACCATACACACAACCGGTTCCTGATCATGACCGACTGCAAACACACTGCAGGAGGATGGTCAAAGACTGTTAAAACAGCACATACTAACACATTGTTGCTGAGTCTTGTACAACTACAAGTTTTTCATGCCTTGCCTCTGTTTTTTAACCTTGCTTTGTTGTGTTTGTTTATTCCTGGTTACTGCCTGCCTTTTGACCACCTGCCTGTTTACTAACCAACACTTTGGATTGCCCATATACTGCATATGTTTGCTCCTGTGTTGACTTGCTTGCCTGACCATCCTGCTAATAAACCAATGTTTGGATCCTCACCCCTGTTGTCAGCGTCCACCTCATGTTAGAATATATTTGCAGCCCTAGAGCTCACCCACACCAAGGGGACGCCAAAAAATTACCACCAATGAAATCCAAATTGTGTTGTCACCTTGCATTGGATCGCATCTAGACAAAAAAGCTGCACATGAACTTGTCAAATCCACAGAAGCCAGTAGGCTGTTTTCTTTTTCCTCAAAGGGAAATTAAACTTCCGATGTGCAAAGGCAAGTATTGCCGATGTGCACAGGCAAGTAGCATTTTGTTGCATTTTCATCGTACATGTCACTCGCCACAGAGAGATTTGCTTGGGCAAATATATCTATATAATCTAATAATTCATATCTGCAAATATTTGAGAAATGTAGCATAATTATTGCTGGTCTCTTTGTCAATTTTTGGCTTAAATTGTTTACCACTTACGTCACTTCACTACACTTGTAATTCATTACTGAAAAACCAATCACAGCACTGTCTTCAGCTGATAGCCAACACTGAGGCAACAAGAGACAAGAGAGCTAGCCTGACGGATACATATATTGTTTTGATGTAAATATATACACAAATAAAAATAGACCCTTTACAGTTTTCAAATCTGTGTTTGCTTAATCAATATGATAAAAATAAGTCTTTTAAGCTACTTTTATGGATTATGTGCATTTGTCGACCACAGGGGGTAAGGTCATGCCACAGCATCTCAAACACGTTTTCACAAAGAGCTATGTTGTTTGGGATTTTGTTTTCTCTTAATAATAAAAACCATAATTTGAAAACTGCACCACGTGTTTACTTGTGGTATCTTTGACTAATATTTTAGTTTGTTTAGTGATCTAAAACATTAAAGTGTGACAAAAATGCTAAAGCATGGAGCAAACACTTCTTCACACCACTCTATGTTGTAGATTATATTGACAAACATTCAAAAATGCAAATGATATAGGCACAACTTAGCAAGTACTTATTTACAATAGTAATTTACAGTAGTTGCATCTAGAAGTTGTTCCTGAGGCTTATTAAAACATTGCTGATAGTTTCAGTTTTTGTATCTCAACTTCAGTTGATTTTAAATTTGACATGCAAATGAAAACACAAATAAAAAAACAAACAAACAAAAAAAAACTTTGCCTGAGGTTACTATCATTATGGGTTCCTCAACTGTCAAGTCCAACTAAATTTAAATTATACTGTTAAACTGTTATACTGGTGTTTTTGCAGCTGCAGATATTACAACCAGACACTTTTACAAAAACATATTTAGCCACTCAAGGGAGCGAGTTCATGTGAGAAAGTGACATTAATACACACACTCTATACAGGTTGTCTCTATTGACCTATCGATAAGCCCTGCCCCCCATAGTAACTGTTGCTAATTCGGACAAACAAAGTTGCTACCTATTACTGTGATGACTTTCAGTGTGAAAATCAGGTTCCAAGTGGTTTTTGATACATTTTGGTCATAGAAAGACGAGTAGTCGAAACGGAGCATTCAAGTGGGACTTAAATATGCCCTAGTGGGATAAATAAAATATTTTAAAAAATATTATGATGGATAACAAGATTATTTTAGAAGTGAATGTTTACAGATCACAATGCAAGCAGGAGAAGTGTTCAAAGCAGTTAAAAATATCTAACAAGACTGTTTATGTAGCGCACCATAAATTTCAAGTAATTTAAATTGAACTCACCATGCAAGTGGCTAACAACAATTAATGTTAGCATGAGCTAGCTATCATTAGTCAACCATAACGTACAGTGGCAAAAGCTGCTACTACGTAACTACTCCGTTTAAACAATTATAAATGTCTTTATCAGCGTAAAGGAAAACAACTTTCCCAAAACAGAAGTATACTATTCATCTTCTTTAGGCCTACATTTCAAATAAATTCTATTGCCCATCCTATCAGGATACCTGTATTATTACCTGGATTAGTATTAAAAATACCTCAGGCACAAATTTTTACCCGTTTTAATCCAACACCATTAAACCAAAAATATCTAATGCTTTCTCTATGGCACACAATCCTAAAGATGTCTCTGTTCAGGTCTCTGTGTAACTCATGCTTAACTGCCATTGGCTCATCTGCCAATTATGCAGGTTATTTGATTAAGTGAAATGTGGGGTAAAAGTATAGAGTTGTATAGGTCCAATGGCACAACTTGCTCATGTCGTGTCAAGAGGTAGACTCATTCTTGGGATAAACTGTCAGTTTTATTTTTAAGTTAAAAAACAACATAATTGGCCCATTTGTTAAGATCCACCCCGCTCGCTTCATCAGACAATCTTGAAGAATGTCCCACAGGAATGACAGACGGAAATTTTGAAAAAGATTTCTGTAAACAAAGCCATTTTGAGCCAGCAGATGTGCTCAAAAAATTGCCCAAGAGAGAAAAGCAGATTGTATATTATCCTTATGTAGACTGGAATTAGTTACTGCATAATGTAAATGTGATATTGGGAGTTTGTTTAATAGGCAATCTATAAACAGGAGTATAATAGATGTGATAATGAAGATGTATTTGACTACAATTGTTTTTATTACTTTAAATATGTGAACTGTTTTGCTAAATTCTTATTTATCTGTTGCCAAATGTATTAATAAAAATACTGTTTGTATTAAAGTCACCAGAAAAGAACATAATACAATATGATTATATATATGAGTTTATATAAAATAAATATTTTACCTAAATTGCTACATATGAAGTTAGCAAATGTCATAGGCAAAGTTGTTGTTTTTTTGTTTTTTTTTTGTAATGAGCACTTTCATAACTATAACAAAATAAAACCTATGAACTGTGAATTGAAGGTGATACATGCTGTGCTTCCACATCGAAACCTTTTCGAATGAATTGTAAGAGGAAACATTTCTCTGTGCCTCAGAAATCCAAAAACAACTATGAACTTTGTGCTGTAGATATTAAAAACAGACACTGACTTCTGCATGCTATATCAGGCTACTATTGGGTATTAAATCATTTTTAAGTTTTTACAAACAGGAAATCATGCTCAATTTTTGTATGATTATGTATTTGAAAACAATTCAGATGAGACTGACATTTATTGGCTTTAATTATACAGTTTAATTCAATTATGTGTTTGAATTGTAACTTAAAGAGTGATTGACTTTTTTTAAATAGTGATTGTTAGAATATTCCAAGTATGCATATTGCTTCCTTACATTAAAATGTTCCGAATATTAAAGCTAATGCCTAGAGCAAAATTCAACTTTGGAAAGAATCTAGTTCATATTTACATATGAATATGGGCTTTTGGTGTCTACTAGTCTTACCTTCAAGTAACACTTCTTAACTAGTGGGTAACTTTATTAAGAATTACATTCTCCCTTACTAGCTAGTTTTAGCCCGAATACTGCTGTAGATGTCACTGTTTACCTCAGTGTTGGCAGACGTCTGTCAGATTCGACTATACATGTCACACAAACTAGAGATACGGACACATTTGAGCTGCATGTTAAATGAAATATAAGGTTAGTATGAAACTAAAAAATGCATGTGAGGATGAAACGGAGGGTATTATTTTAATGTTACACAGTATTCCCTGTTAACAAAAACTTTGACCGGTCAGCTGCGCTTCCATTATAATAACAGAATTAAAATAAATTATTCGTTTGCGTCAAGACGTTTGGATAAATCGTGTGTAATGTAAGGTAAACGTTTTCCAGAACAATCACTAATGATTTGTGTAACGCCTCAGGGTGAAAAAAAGCACCGCGCAGCAGATAGCCTACTTTACAACAAAACATATCGCAAACTATTTGCAGTCTGGACGAGCCGTAAACAAGCGACTAAATTCTGCGAAAATAAGCAGGAAAACATATCCATTAAATAAATCTCGGTTGGACGTTTAGATGGTGATTGTGAAATCGATTGAGTGAGACACAGGGCAGTAGACTGAGAGAAACTGAGGTGGGCGGGTGTGCGCTCGAGTCACGATAAAAAGGCTTTGCTCTTGGGAAAAAACTCTTGATTCTTTCCGCAGCCTTCCGTTCTCCATCGTGCGGCATGAAGCGTCTACCTGGATACTTACCATCATTACGCAAATTTAGGTGACTTTCTTTCCCTCCCGACTTGGATTCTACTTTATGATGATTTTGGATATGTACCTTTGGGATGAAGAGAACCCTTTCCCTGCCCGCAGAAGTAAGATAAAATAGGGTTTCGCTGACATTGGAGTTACTCCTCTCGTTCCATATGAAGAAGTCAAACGTAAGTGAATGGCTTTTGCTTCAACGCGACTCATTTATTGTGAGTCACATGCGACTTGCATTTGTTTGTCACTGTATTGTGCGTGCAGAAATGCACTGTTTGAAGACGGGAGGGAATATAGCTAGTGTGTTTTATATTACAAAAAAAGCGTTTAGCTTGATGCATAGTTTGTCATTTTTGGGCGCGTAATGCGCACGAAAACGAATTGTGCGCACTTAATTGGGCTAGAGCGGGTTGCCTATTTGGAAGTAGCAGCAGAATGGTTTATTTTTGTATTAAATTGACTTGTCGTTAAGTACCACAAACACGCTTTCTCATCCCGCACAAGCGAGCGTCGTTAAAATAATGTTTGTTTCCATTCCAGAGATCTTGTCAGAATCACTTTTAATCACTGTAGGTTTCTCACTGAATTTTGGTGGAAATTGAGCAAAAGTGTAAACGATCGATGCAACTTTCTAAAACAATTACCACAGGCATTATACTCAATTTTGTTGTTGTTGAATAAAATGAGTTTACAATAGTCTAATCAAATGTTCGACGTGAAATGTTTCATTTTGTTGACGGAGCGTTCATTTTGAGAATAGTATATTCGTGATAGTCATGAAAATTTAAACTTAATCATGTGTCGGAAGATATGAAGTCTTTGAAAAAGAGATAAGAGTATATAACACTGATATAAAACAACACGACCTCTGGACTTTTACGCAGGTGCTTAACCCAAAAGAAAATCTACATGCAGCTATATTTTGTGAGAACAAGATTTCCTGATACATTCCTCCCTGTCTTGGACATGTTGTACAACGGGAAATAAGCCAGTGGAAATGGTTTTCATTGACTGGGGGTGGGAGTATTTACTCAAAATTCATCAATAACGCTGCCCCTCTTTGCTTTTTTAGTGAATGTACACTTTTTGCAGCTTGTTTTTTTTTTTTGTATACTGTAAATTAAGATTCACCTAAGGAGGCAAAAGATATTTGACATGTGCTGAGATATTTCCACTGTTACTTAAAGAAGACTAAGTCCATGATGTATGAAGAGCAGATTCACCTTGCACCTTTTTTGCTCAATTGGGAATGTTTGTTTCTTGGGAGTACGGCAGCTTTAGTATGATAAATTGACATGTGGTCTCTAGGGTTTTACTGAGATGTAGGGTTTTTGAAGACTTCATTTGTCCTTTTGTTGCATTTTTGCCCTTTTATTGATATATAGTAAAGGAGAAACAGAACATGAAGGGAGTGAAAGGGAACACGACCGAGGCTGGAATTGAACCCTGCTCTCCCATGGGCATGATAGATCAAAATGTTAGTGCATCCACACCGACAGCAAGGCTGCAATTTCAGTAAAGTAATTCACATGCAGTGTTTTTACCTGTCAGTATATTTAATTTAATTTAATTCCTTTATCGTTGCCTTTTTATTTGTAACTACACAAAGCCAAGGCTGGACTTGAACCATGGTCTCCCATGAGCATGTCATCATAAAATGACCACTAGACTACCACTTCAGAAAAAAATAATTTATATTCTGTGTCAGCAGTTTTGACCTGCATTTCCTTTTTCACACACACACAAAAGTTAATCATTAGCACATGCACACTAGTAAACCTGCTTATACTCTTCTCATGACAGTTTTGATTTTATTTATTCTTTTAATAGCATGACAGTTTTGATTTCTGATCAGGCCTGCTTTATTTAAATGTGTGGTTATTGTGTATGTGGAAGCCATTTTTTATACAGCTCAGGGATCGTTATTCTCTTGATACAATTAAGAAACCATACCTAGTACGTTAATGATCATTGAATTATTGTAGTTTCTTGCCATCAGTTGTGGCATACATCAACCCCTTTGCCAAAACTGATGCTCAATTATGTGAAACATCTAGCATGAAAGCAAACACCTTCGACCGTATGCCAAGCCCAAAGGCAAAAATAAGTTAGTGACAGTTTGCAATGTGACTATGAGGAAGTTTGCTATGGATGGAAAAATGAGCAAGTAGGTGAAAAATTGGTTATTTTGCAATAATGAATTTCCTCTTCAAAAGTAACTAACACCAGATTTCTGTCTGGTATGTTCTCCACACACATCCACATGAAGAGCTTCCTGGAAAACTCAATTTGTGGAAAAGTTGTGAAACGTGCAGCTAACTTTTTATTTACAGACTTTATTTAATGTGCAAAAATGATATGCACATTTGGACATGTAAAATTATGGATTTCTTTCACCTCAACTTTTACACATGACAGTTTGCTGACAAAACGTATGTACTATAGACCACAACAGTAATCCCGTTCACAACATTCCAAACTGGTTTTAATGATAACAAATCTTTCAACACATCTAGCTTGAACTACAATATTAAGCAATGGAATATGCTTGTGCATGAGTCATAAGTACATTTTTTAATAAAGTAACCCACTTTCTCAAAGTACTTTCTCTAAGTGAGGTTGTTACTGTGTATATATAAAAAGTGTTATTTTGGTAATAACCAAGCTTCAATTTACACAGCATTACTTTATTAAATAAAACTGTAATGCATTCTGATAAGAAAATATATATGAAAATATTTGTTATGTAAATTATACAGTAAGACGATATATGAGAAAATATCTGAACCAAAGTCACCAAAAAGGAAGTAGTTGTTTATATAAAGCAGAAAGCTACAATCTTTATTTCTTATTATTATTACTTTCTAAACCAACATCACTATTACAAAGGACAGTGATGACAAATAATAGTACACTGATCTGCAAATCTGGAGTTTGTAGTGGATTGGTGCTGGATTTCGTGACATATGCCTGTTATTTTTTCCTGTTTGGACTGTAGATGAATGATAGTGTGTTGTTGTGTCTACAGTTGAGAAAGTTTATGATCCGTAAATCTGATTTTGTCATATCAGATAATTCAACTTGTGCTGTAAAGATGAGTGGCAAAGGGAACAATGAGCAGAAGTCCACTAAATCGGCACTAAATCCATTACCCAGTAATTTAAACACACGAGTTGAATCAATGTTAGTACGTTAATAAGTTATTACATAAATATGTGGTTTGAAATAAATCTAACAAGGCTTTATGAAGATAAAGTGCAGGAAATGCCAAGAATAAGGAAGAAAAAACTGTGTTGAGGGTTTAACCTTAATATCGTCAACATCAAGTTCCATTAAGCTCTTTCACTTTGTTTCCATATCCTTTTAGTGCTTACATGGCATTTGACATTCACCTGGCTTCCACATTGGCTAAGCCCAGTCCAAATAAAAAGGTTTTCAATAGCGGGTGGCCATTTACAATAAAGTCTGAAACCTTATCCCTGTTTTGAAACCGCTTAATTGCATAATGCACTCAGCGAATGATAGAAATGAAATCACTTTTCAAAATAAATCTCTTGCTTTCATTGGCACACTTTGCATGTCCAAAAAATTAAATGTATAATATGATCCCCATTAGTTCTCTATTATTTCTGTATTAAATGTTCCAGTTTGGCTGTTGTTTCACAGCACTTGCTCCAGGTAGCTTTTCAGTGCCTGGCTTAATTAATGATTAAAACGAGTCATTCTGCAGTAATACAGTTGTATTGTTTTTGTCTCCCAGTGCTGATATTCTCAGCATGCTCCTCAAACATTGGGTGGGTTCCATTAGCATATCTACTTTTCTCAGTTGTTCCTGAATGAGGCCTCCCTCCAAGGACGGCTATTGCTCAGTCTATTATTTCTGTTCCCACCCAGCCCCTTTAAATTAGCTATCAAATAGCCAGATCACATTTCATTGGACTCCTGTGGCTTGTTGCCCTCTATTTAAACACTCATCAGAGGACATCGCGGTGCAATTGGTGTTGCTCCAGCTAGTATTAACACACTACATCTTTTCCCATTGTTTCATCTGGTCTGAGATGTGTAGCGAAGCCCAATTGCTTTGACGTTACTGACTAAACCCATTAAAGAAATAATCATTACAAGCCACAGAAATGTAGAGTCATGATTGGTGAGGAAGAATTTGACATTCTTCTATCTAGGCAACATGAGAAAGCGTATATATTCTTTGGGACATGTGATAGCATCTTTAGCTAGTGTTTATTTGGTTAGGCAGGGGTTTGTAAAGTGCACCTGAATGGACACGAGCAGACTGAGTGCAATTAGCGGAGGCAAATTCGATTTGAGTAGTTTTTGAGTGGATACTGGTCGCTGGCTATTCAACAGAGGCTGAGACGATTATGCTAGTTTTCCGGACGCTGATGTTTGTCCTCTTGTTTCTTTGGCCTGTGAAAGTAGATCACATGGCTTCACAAAGCTGCCTTCCGGACACACATCTGGTCACTTTTTTAATCAAAACTAAGAGACTGTGTTGTTTATCTCACTTTAAGCCTTTGCCTTGTAGTATAAAGAGATAGCATGTGTTTCTTTGCGAATATGTGGCTAGCTAACATTAGAACGACTCTGTCTGTTTAATCCGGGCACTGTATTAGAGGGATTCTGCCTGTATTTGAAGTGTTAGACTTATGTAGGCCATGAAATATGTAAGTAATAACTGTGAAAAGATAAAAAGAATGGAGATCAATGGTGACTAGACTTTTTTTTTGGCACCCTGTGTTACACTACTGGGCTCTGTTCTCGCTAATAAGATTATGTAGTGAATGGTACATTGTTCACTGTATGTCTTTCTTGGGAGATTGCAAAGTTAATAAAAGCTAGTGATCAAAGTGTCTGGTCAGCATGATTCTGATAACTGCCCTATTCTCTAGCCGAACAAGTTACTTCTTAACGTGATGTTCAAAAAGAAGGGTTGAGTTGTTGTTGTCTATTTTTCTTCTGCCAGCTCATGGTCAGCTGTAATGAGATATTGTTCTGCTTTACATCTCCTTTGTCTGGCTAAATGAAAGTGACCTCCCTCATTTGGTTCTGTTGTAACAAGCTAACACTTTCAAGATTTCTTTGTATTTATAATTCAGTGTCTGGACTATGTCTTTCCAAAGCCTGCTTTTTGAAGTGCGAAAATTATAATTGTGAGATA